CTGGGAGCTTCGTAAATCTCTTTGACTGACTGAGTGATCCTTTGTTTCTTCTCTGACTTATATTAGGGCCTCAGGGGTGATGTCCTGAGCTTTCACCAGCCACCTCCAACCAATGATGTCATCACTCTCTCCCTGCCATCCATCCCTGGGAGTCCTGAATGCCCTTACCCCTGCCCTGCACATGCGATGCATCTTTATTCTCTTTTCCTTTTGTCTTGACTCTCTGTGTCCCTATGTCCAGGAAAATGAACCCCGAAAGGGAAGTGAGCAACACAGTTAGTGATCAGAGTCAGGACTTTGGACTCAGATGGGCCTGAGCTGGCATCCTGCCTCTTCATCATTACTATGTAATCTTCATGTCAGGAACATCCATTTCCTCACTTATGAAATGGGCTTAAGAACACATGCATTGGAAAGCTGGGGGGAGATTCAACCAGACTCTACCCCATAGAGTGCCAAATAGGCATGCCCTTCACAGTCCTTAGCAAGTGAGGGCCTTCCTGGACTTACACACTCTTGCTTTGAGGGCCCCTTTGTCCTTGAAAAGGTGCAAAAATTTGAATTTATGATTGTGTTGGCATAAAGACAAATAAATTAATATTACATATGAAAACTTATCTTTAATCTAGAAGCTGCTTTTCTTTCCTCTGTTTTAAAATAAGTTAGTACAGGGGCCAACAGATGGCATAGTGGTTAGGTTGCTGGACTTCCACATGGCTGACTGTGGTTCAGGTCCCAGACCTGGCAGGCCTGAAACTCCTGCTGGGCATGTATGCATGTGTGCCCAAGATCCCAAAAGGAGAATGGAGAAGTCCCTTCTTTCAGTGTGGCCATCCCCCCTCCCCGGCCCCCGCAGATGATTTTTCTCTTTCTGCCTCTCTGTCTCTCCAGTGAATGCATGGGTCCTGTAGCAGAAATCTCTCTTAAATAAATAAATAAATAAGTTAGTTAGTTAGTTAGCACAGTTTTGTGAATCCCTGGAACTGCTCTGGGCCCCTGTCACTGCATGTGCTGTGCCTAATGAGTAAGTCAGCCCTGGGTCAGAGATTTGTTTTGGTGATCCTTGTCTCTATCTTTCTGGTTGTTAACTACTTTCCGGAAGTTTCTGACTCCTCTGGCCCTCAGGACATATACTGCCCTTATCCGTTTCCTTTCCTTCTCTTCTCTCCCAGCCACACTCCCCAGCCCTGTCCAGTTAAACCCATGTCTTCATTCCTCATCATTCCCCTGATTGAAGCGTGGCCCCTTAAAATGTTACTCATGTCCTGCTAAGTCAGCGTTGAATTTTCTGATAGGCTGTTCCTACTGAGGTTTTCATGACCATTCCTCCTCTACTGCTTCTAGACTATTTGCATTTTTTAACAAGAAACTTTAAGAGCCTCTATACCATAATTTAAAACAGTGTGATGGTATGAAGTAAGAATTTTGGTCTAGGAAAGGAAATACTTCAAAGCACAGGGTGAACTTTGAGAATCATCTCAATCATATTGTGCCAATAGCTTGGTGCCTCCTGCATATGTGTGTTCAGTGGGCCATGGTGCTACAACTATGCTTAGAAGCTTCAGGAAGGCAGGTCACAGCCTATCCTCCAAATTCTCTCAGTAAAGTACATCCAGTTGAGCTCTAATGAGGTCTCTTTTATCCTAGTGGAATCATACCTCACTTCTTCTGTTCCCTGTCTTAATCATCCTCTGAGTTATGCTTGGTAGTGACCTTATACCACCATACATGGTTCCTGTAAATTAAGCCTTACTCCCTCAGTGCTCACTATTTTCTGGATTTGGGCAGGAAAGTAATCTCAGTGATAATCTTATTTATAAAGGAGGGAACTGGAGCTGGCAGAGGGCATGGTGGTTAAGGCGATGGACTACCACGTGGCCAACCGCCATTCAAGTCAGGGACCTGGTGGCTTACTTTCTCACTCCCCCTCTCTCTCTCTCTCTCTCTCTCTCTCTCTCTCTCTCTCTCTATCGATCTATCTCTCTGGTCAAATTAAAAAATAATAATAAATAAAATTAAATACACAATTCTTTAAAAAAATAAATGAAGGAGGGAACTGTGGCTCAGAGAAGAGGAGTATCTTGCTGAAAGTTTCAAAGCAGTTCATCAGGACTAGGTCACAGGTCTCCTCAATACATGGGCTTGGGTATCATTTACTGCACAGTCAAGCCCTGTCTTGACAATGCTCGGTACTAGGTGTATAACCAGAAAAAGTTAATTCAGTCTCTAAACCTCAGTTTTCTCATCTGTAAAATGGTAGGAGTGGAAGGGGTGTAGAACCAACAGTATCAACATTAGAGAGTTGTAGTGAAAATTCTTAGAATTGTTGTGAGAGTTAAATGAGATTATCCCTACAAAGAGCCTAGCACAATGCCTAGCACACAAGTGCTCAATGACTTCATTGTTATGATTATTCTCACTACCACTACAACTATCTATAGTTCTATTACTGTCTCTTCAATTCTGGTAGCCTAAAACAGGATTCATGCTGCTTCCCAGAATGTGCATTGCTCTGGGAGTGGCCAGAGCAATGGAAGAATCTGGCACAACAGGTTTTTCTAAAGTGGTGGAAATAAACCAAAGTTGATAACCCAAACCTGGGGAAAGAATATACTCCTGTTTGTTTTTTACTAGTTGTAAATGAACTTTCCAGATGCAACTTATACTGAAATAAATCAAGCCATGTGGCTGAACCCCTCTGATATGTGTGCTTCCTGATCCCATGAACACAGTGACGACTGAGTTTCTGCCTGATGCAGTGATGGCCGACAGTGTTCTGTGATGATGTTGTCTATTTCAGTGAGTAGACAAGATTAGGACTCAGCAAGTCATGCACAGAGAGCAGAGACGGGTGTGCAAGGAAACTTCACACCCAAGTATAAAGGATGGCCTGCTCCTTACTACAAATTGCTCTTCACTTAATATGAAGTCTCAGGAAGTTTGATTAAAACCCTAGGTTGAAAGTAACAGAAACCCATATTCGCTTAAGTAAAAAAGGAAATTTATTATAGAAATGCCATCCTGCATCAAAGAAAGCAAGAAGAGAGACCAGCAGTTAGCATAATGGCTATGTCGCTGGACTCCCACGTAGTCGACCGCGGTTTGAGTCCCGGACCCAGTGGCTTAAACTCACGCCGGGCGTGTGTGCGTGCGTGCCCAAGATTCTGAGAGGAGAATGGAGGGAAAGGGATTGCGGCGTGGCCATCCCCTCGCTTTCTGTCTCTCAGTCTCCCTCTGTCTGTCTGGCGAGCACACGTGCCCTATAGCGAAAACCTCTCCAAAAAAAAAAAAAGAAAGCAAGAAGAGATGCAGAGCTGACCTGGGATAGGAATCGGGCCCTCAAATGCCTGCTTCATTCTTCTCTCTTTCTACAGACTTGCTTCCTCTGTGGCTACAGTTGACACAAGGGGATAATAGCTCACAATTTCATAAATCTATGTACAGTCAAACAGAGATTGGTCTTCAAGTCCAGAATTCCTATGGAAAGGACTGAATGGCCCAGCATAGATTAGTTTCCTTTTTCTGATTATGAATCAGCTGTAGTAAAGGGATAACACCAACATGGCATATCCACCACTTACAAGTGGGCAAAATCACATAGAAGGGATGATTAAAACGGTATCGAGCTAGAAGGTGAGAGACATATTGTTCTCTTTTGGTCCTATGCTACACCCTTGCTCTCCCCAGATTATCATTTTACCTAATATCTAGGATCTCAGTGTACTCACTGCCCTTGCTCCCTTTGTGCTAGGTGACCCTTAACCCTAAACAAGCTATTTCCAACATGACCAAATGAAAATAACACAGCCTTTAAAACAACAAGGACATCGGGTTAAAACCCAGGTCTACCACTTACTGACTATGTGACCCTGGACAAGTTTCTTGGCTTCTCTGAGCCTTGGATTTTGTAGCTATAGAATAAGAATAACAATACATATTTAATAGAGTTGTTGTGCAAATTAAGGGAAATAAAATAACCATTTTTAATGTACTTGCAGGCCAGCCAGTAGTGCGGTGGTTAAGGTGGCTAGGTCCCACATGGCCAACTGCATGATTTGAGTCCTGGACCTGGCAGCTTGAGAAACATGTCAGGGTGTGTGTTTCCATGCCCCCAAACTCCAAAGATGTGAGAAATAGAGAAGAGCTTGACCAATCAACATGAGAGAGTGCTTTCTCACTTTTTCTCACTTCTCTTGTTATTTTTAGCACTGTTTTCAATAAATACTTGCATTCTCTCATTTCTTCCTATGAGTAAAGTGTTATTGTCCCCATTTTCTAGGTTAGAAAATTGACGCTCAGATTTATAAGTTATCAAGGCCATGGAACACTCAGTGACAGAAAGGGATTTGGTTACAAAATCTAAAGACAGGCAACATAAGCAATGAATCTCCAGGAAAATTTGTGCTTGGAATGTCTCACTTGATAAATGATAATCTCATGGCTTCTATACATCCACACAGCATTGCTACCTGGGCCTGAATGCAAAACAATAGAACTATAGGAAGAAAAGTAGATGAACAGCAGATAGAATATCTCCATGGACCTGAGTACTAGTCTAATTGCTTACTTAAAGGCTAATAGTGGTGAAAAGTTAGAATCTGTGAAAAAAGAAAGTAAAATTTTGTCCCAGCTTTAGATTCTTCAGTGTTTCCCATCTTGGTCAAAATTGAGTGCACTCTGGTCATCGGTAGTCGTATAGGATTGTTCATGCATATGGAATATTTTGGCCTGCCCCTGAAACACCTTACATCTGGAGAACAACTACTTATGCACTATGATCATCAGCCTAATTGACCTGCTTCTTTCAGAACTTTTTTTTGTTCCATTTGGGCTACTGTGAATTTTGCTACTTCCATACTGTGCTTTATTTATGCATTTTTATTTATTTAGTTTAATAATGTGCTAATAAACAGAAGAAACATTTAAATACTACATTGCTTTTGATTAGCATCATACCTGGAATAATATATTTATCTGTTTATTCCCCACTTGTTTTTCAGCTCCAGGGTTCCTTGAAAAGAAAGCAAGTAGTTAGCCTGTCTCCCGCCAACAGCAAGAGACCCAATGGCTTTGCAGATAACTCATTCCTGGATATCAAAAGAATTCGTGTTGAGGAGAATCTCTCTGCAGGACAAGGTGGCCTCCAAATAAACAATGGACAAAATCAAATTATGTCGGGAGCCTTGCCTATGAACCAAGCACCCCTAAGAAAGACAAACACTCTGCCACCCCATACCCATTCTCCTGGCAATAGTATGTTTAACATGGGCCTAAAGGAAGTGAAGAAGGAGCCAGGAGAGACTCTGTCTTGCAGTAAGCACATGGATACCCAAATGATCCAGGAGAATATTTTTTCTAATAGGTATGGAGATGATCCTGGAGAGCAACTGATGGATCCTGAGCTACAGGAGCTGTTCAATGAATTGACCAACATTTCTGTGCCTCCCATGAGTGACCTTGAGCTTGAGAACATGATCAATGCCACCATAAAGCAGGATGACCCATTCAACATTGACTTGGGCCAACAAAACCAGAGGAGCACTCCCAGACCCTCCCTGCCCATGGAGAAGATAGTGATCAAGAGTGAATACTCACCGGGCCTCACTCAGGGTCCCTCAAGCTCTCCTCAATTGAGGCCCCCATCAGCTGGACCCACATTTTCCATGACTAACTCTGCTCTCTCTACTTCATCCCCAATCCCTTCAGTCCCTCAGAGCCAAGCTCAGCCTCAGACAGCCTCGGGGACTGGCCGGACCCTGCCAAGCTGGCAAGAAGTGTCCCATGCCCAGCAGCTTAAGCAGATAGCTGCCAATCGGCAGCAGCATGCCCGGATGCAGCAGCACCAGCAGCAACACCAGCCTGCCAACTGGCCAGCCTTGCCCTCTTCTGCTGGACCATCCCCAGGTCCATTTGGGCAGGAGAAAATCCCCAGTCCTTCTTTTGGTCAGCAGCCATGCGTGGGGGCCGGGCGGGCCCCTGCCAAGCTGGCAAGAAGTGTCCCATGCCCAGCAGCTTAAGCAGATAGCTGCCAATCGGCAGCAGCATGCCCGGATGCAGCAGCACCAGCAGCAACACCAGCCTGCCAACTGGCCAGCCTTGCCCTCTTCTGCTGGACCATCCCCAGGTCCATTTGGGCAGGAGAAAATCCCCAGTCCTTCTTTTGGTCAGCAGCCATTCAGCCCACAGAGCTCCCCCATGCCTGGAGTAGCTGGCAGTAGCAGCCAATCAAAAGTTATGGCTAACTACATATATAAGACCAGCCCCTCGGCCCAGAGTGGACACCTAGATGTCCTCATGCAGCAAAAGCCTCAGGATCTCAGCCGAAGCTTTATTAACAGCCCGCACCCAGCCATGGAGCCCCGCCATGGCAACACCAAGCCTTTGTTCCATTTTAACTCTGATCAAGCAAACCAGCAGATGCCTTCTGTGTTGCCTTCCCAGAACAAGCCTTCTCTCCTACACTACACACAACAGCAGCAGCAGCAGCCCCAGAGCTCAATTTCAGCTCAACAACAGCAGCAGCAACACCAACAGCAGCAGAGCTCCATTTCTGCTCAACAACAGCAGCAGCAACAGCAGCAACAGCAGCAGCAGCAGCAGCAGCAACAGCAACAGCAACAACGCCCAC